ATCAGTTAGCCATACCCTTTATGGGATTCGAACCTGGGCAGTTATACATACTAGTCAGTGATTTAGTCACTGAGCCACAGGTTCTCTTCCCCTCTTTTGCCAGCAGAGTCAAGGGAGTAATTATAGGGAGTTCAGACAGATTGGTCTGATTGTGAACACCTTGACATTTTTCAACTGCCATACTGCAGTTTACTCTTTTTACAATATCTCTTGCCTTGCCGCCCCCAACTAGGGGCATAGAGCAGGCTCAAGTCGCAACTGCGAAATATTTTTATATCCAAATTTTTTTTTCTGACAAAGAGTAAAGAATTAAATTGGGAGACTAAGATGGACCTGAAATGTGTTTGGGAATGTTGTTTTTATGGAATGTTTGAAACTTTTTTCATCAATACCATTTATTGTACGTGACTGTGAATTTCGTTAGTTTGGCTAGATCAGGGGTGTCAAACTCAATTTCATTGAGGGCCGCATCAGCATTGTGGTTGCCCTTAGGGGGCCGGATGGATGTGGCCAGGGTGGGTGCGGCCTACTGGGTGGGCATGGCCAGCTCTACATCATTCGCGTCAAGGGTGCCTGTGGGGGCCTGGGCAGGAGTGGGACAGATCTGGCAGAAGGGGGTGGAACCGGGGCGAGTGCCAAGGCATGATCCACTGGAGGAGCCTCACTGTTCCTCTCAGGACATGCGGGGGGGGGAGGCTTATGGAGCTAAGACTGAATGCGTTTCAGCATAGATGGCCACCACAAAATTGTACATTGGCTCCCGGCAGGCCTGGGCCAGGGCCAAGGCAGAGGGGGCCGTTCCCTCACTGTTTCCAGGATGGCTTCGCGGGCCACATGAAACCACTTCATGGGCCGCATCTGGCCCCCGGGCCTTGTGTTCGACATGTCTGGGCTAGATGGACCATTTTTTAGACAGTACGGATTTTTACTGAGAATATAGTTTCCTGGTGGAAGCTTGATTCTTTTGGCATTAAAGCCCTCAGATGCACTATGTGTCTGGTGAGATTCATTAGTCTGGCTGGGTAGGAGGTAATATTTTCAACTTCTTCCTAAAATACTGATTTTGGTCTGAAACTGTAACTGAAATTTGCACTCTTTTGGAGTCTCTACTTTCTTGGTGCACGTAACTGGAGAGTTTTATCTGTTTTACAGAAAGTGTTTTAAGCAATTCTGCCTTGTTTTGGGTACAGTATATTTTAAGGCATTTAAGGGTTAAAAGAAAGCATTATTTATTTAACCACTCTGTAAAGTGATTGTGCAGAAAACAGTAACAAATAGAATACTGTACTTTGCTGTTCCCGTTTCTTTCTAAAATTGCTTGTTCCAATCTATTAAATTCCACTCCAACTTTTATATCACCCTGAGAATTAGTTCGAGTCAAATGGGGCGGATCCAGCTCCTTATTTTCCAAAATCTTCTCTGGGTCTTCTTCTTTAAGGTGCTGTTTGCTTCAGAGAAGAGTGTGGAAAGCAATTCCGAGTTCTGCTCAAAGTTTATTTTTATTATTTTTTCCTTAGCCGTCAGCTGGCAGAGCAAGCCTTTATTCTGGAAAAGTTTGGAACTGAAAGGTATTGTATTTGTTGTGGGTTGGAGAGGAAGAATTGCACTGTGCCTCTCCATTCCGGTTGAGAGAAAAGAAAGTGGCTGTGTGAAGCTGGTTCTGTAATCACGCAAATCCAGAGGCTCACTTTGAGGAGGAGCAGCTGGAAGGTGAGGGGAGGGCACGCAAAATCCTGACAAGCTTTGCTTTGTCCTCCCCTCTTCTGCTCCACGGGAGGGAGTTAGCTTAAAGGAAAGTTTGTTTAGCTGTCTTGATGCATTCATAGTGAACTGCAAAATCATCAAGTTTGGAATTGCCTGTGGACAGAGGATCTCACACAGGTGTGTATCCAAAGCTGCTTATTGTTCCTTTTCCTGCCTGCTGGTTTTAACAACATTTTAATAATCTTGCAAATTGATCTGTGGCATAAACCAGTTGATGCCAATAATTTCAAAGTAGGAAATTGTAGATGTGCGTTCACAAAAGATATCCACAGTTGGTTAAATGAGATGCATTTCAATTGATGTCACCCCCTCCCCAAAACTTAGGAGCATTTATGAAATCCTCCAATTGGTTCTAGTGTTGGGTTCTCGGATTAAGAAGTGTCTGAACAAGTTAATGA